GTGAGAAGACCAAACTCTAGTTAAGACTAACCATCCAAGAATATGTGAGCAGTATAATCTGTACTTAATGGATTAATAAAAATGTACACAAAGTTGGATAAGGAAGGAAGGATGGATCTTCAAGGAATGGGGGTGTATAATCAAGATGGATTGTACAAAGTTCTCAAAGATCTAAATTTAAATGAGAAGATTATGATCTATAGCCAATATTTTATCTGCATATTGAGATATTGTTTAATTTATTTCTTATGACTGAAAACAACTAAAAGAATTGTCCTTTTTCATTATCTTAGTTTTAAGTCACTCAACATACTTGAAGCTTTTTCTCAAGAGATGCAAGGAGATGAGTGATCCAAGTGGAGACATTATTTAAAATAGAGGTTCAAATCTTTAATAAATAAATAAAAATTAAAAAAATTGAAAAAAAATAAAATAGAGGTTCAGTTTGAAAGGAAACTCTGAATAAATAACAATGGTGGCACAGCACTATGAATGTACTTAATCCCACTGAATTACTTGCAAATTTCTAAATGATATATTTTATGAATGTATATATCATGAGAATGAAGACATAAAAATGAAAAACTATTAAAACAAGGAAGCATGAACAGTTCCATAAAAAGCAGTGAGACTGAAAGAAGAATAATCTCTCAACAGAGAAGCTCACTACTGGGCAGGTTCAATATGAATTCTACCAAATCATTAAGTAATAAGTACTACTGATGTTTCTCAAACTAGTCTATAAAGCAAAAGAGAAAACATGCGAAAAATTTTCATTCTGTGAAGGTAGTATTACCCTGACACCCAAACTAGACAACACAGCAACACTGATGAGCACTGTTACAAATATTCCCAATAAAATACTTGCAAACTGGATTCAACACGCTAAAAAGATAGTCTTAGCTGACTAAGTTGGTTTACTTTCCAGATGTAAGCATTGCCTAACATGTGCACAGTGTTGCTGTTGCCCTAGGTAAGGAATGGATGGATTATGTTTTCCAGACTGGTAGTAGCAAACAATGTTTTTTTTTTTTTTTTTTTTAAGAAGTAAGCAGAGTAAGACAAATTATTGCTTTAGAAGCCATGGAACATTAGAGAGGAAACATAAATCTGTTCACACATGCATTAGGGATGCCAATCCGAATGGTCTCAACTTTGCTATTGGGGAGAGAGAATCAGAGAGGCAACTGAGGGAGTCAGATGCAGAGACTCACAGCCAAACATTAGGTGGAGCTGGGGAATCCTGTGGAGGAGGAGTTGGAGAAAGGAGCAGTTGGAGCCAGAGGGGTCATGGACACCACAGGAAGGCTAATCAGTTAACCTGGGCCCATAGGGGTTCACAGAGACTGAATCAACTACCCAGGACCCTGCATTGGACTGACCTAGGTACTCTGGATATATGTTACAGTTGTGTAGCTTGGTCCTCTTGTGGGACTCCTAACAGCAAGAACAGGGGGTATCTCTGACTCTTTTATTGACTTCTGGGACCCTGTTTCTCATACTGGGTCGCCTTGCCCAGCCTTAATACATGGGGAGGTGCTTAGTCTTACTGCAACTTGATATGCCATGCTTTGTTGATACTCATAGGAGATCTGCCTGTTTCTGAATGGAGATGGAAGAGAAGGGGACTGGAGGTGGGAGGGGGAAATGGGAGAGAGGGACTGAAGTGGAGGATGGGGGTAGGCTGTAGCTAGGATGTAAAATAAATAGATGAATTTTAAAATTCTTTTAAGAATAACAAATAAATGATCACACCTTGAAAAATATTAAAATAAACGCAATACAACACACACATAGGCTCACAGACAGAAATTAGATAGGATCATCTGAAGAGGAAGAAAGGGCTTTGATACATTTCAACATTTTTTTTTGTGAGAAAAAAGCCCTGGAACTAGAAAATAACAGTATGAACCTCAACAGTATAAAGTGTATACACAACAAATCTGTAGCAAGTCTTACAATAAATAGGGAAAATGCCAAAATGTTTTCTCTAAAATTAGGAACAAGAGTGTATACTTTCTCTTCTCCATCGTAATTAAACCTTAGCTAGAGAAACAAGCCAAGGAAAAGTGACAGATGTATGTGTGTAACTCCATAGACTCTATTAGAAAATTCTTAGATCCAATAAATTATTTCAACAAAACAGGGTAAACATCAACATAGAAAAATCAGTATCTTTTCTATTTAACAAATGATAACGATACTGAAAAATAAATAGGTGGAATAATTCCATTTATAATAGCTCCCAAAGTACCTAGGACCAAGTACACATAACCATGAAAGTGATAGCGCTCTATAGTCAATGGTGAAGAAAGTTGCAGACACTGGAGGACTGAAACACATGCCTTCTTCTTGCATCAGCAACATCAGTGCTGTGAAGATGGCTATACTGGAAGTAATTTACAGATGCATTGCTATCCCTCTCAACATTCTCATGACATTCTTTACAGAAATAGATTCCATCATCATGGTATCTTCATACATATGTATCATTATTCCTCATTCTCATTATTTTTCTGATCACCCATTGCCCTTCCCTATACCTCATCCCCTGCTTCAACTGGTTCCTTTATGTGTATATGTTGTGATGTATGTACGTGGGTGATATTGCCCGTGTGGGTATACGTGAGGCTGTAAGTTGTTATTTGTATTCTTTGATTGCTTTTTTTCAATTGCTTCTTTACCTAGGGTTTTTCAATGAACCCAGAACTTACCATTTTGGCTGAATTGGCTGGCCCTTGGGATTCACATATCTCAAACCCTCAAGCCCTGGGGTTACAGACTATTGCCACCCTGTGTTGCTACTTTGTTATACATATAGTTACATGTGTAATTTTAAGTAAACATAAAATAATATGATTCTCTGTGGCTTTTCCAAACATCCTGTGTTAATAATCCTGATTCTCTCATTTTGTAGTTCCCTCTCTTCTCACTCAACCTCATTTTCCCCATTTCTCCTTCACAGCACCTGTGTTCTACTATTCCTCTGTCTACAAAAGTCCCCTATGGTCCTTTTTTTTTTTTTTAACTTTCCTGGTATCTGCTATTATACTCACATCTTAAGTGCTAGGGCTAAGATCCACAAATAAGCTAGAGCAGGTGGCGTTTGTCTTTCTGGGTCTGAACTACCTCAGTTACCATCATATTTTCTGTAAATATACAATTCTACGTTTTCTGTCTATTTACCTGAAATTTTCATGATTTCACGTTTCCTTACAGCCGAATAGTATACTGTCCTACCACGTCTTTATTATCCATTCTATCGAAGATCATTTGGGTTGTTTCCATTTCCCAGCTACTGTGAATATGTTGGCAATGAACATTGCTGAACAATATCTGTGAAGTAGGATGCCTTTGCCAAGGAATAAATGTTGCTGGGCTATATGGTAGTTCTCCAAACTGATTTCCATAGTTGCTGCACCAATTTGCAATCCCACCAACAGTGAATGAGGGGTCGTCTTTCCTGACATCCTGGCCTATATTGGTTTTCAGGGTTTTCTTGATCTTAGCCATTCTGATGAGGGGGGTACTCTAGGAAATTTTCATTTAAATTTCCCTGATTGTTGGAGGGATGGTGGGAGGATCTTTGGAGAGATAGGGAGGGAACTGGGAGGAGGAGAGGGAATGGGAATTTGGATTGGTATTTTTTAAGTAATAATAAAACAATAAAATAAATTTAAAAATTAAAAACATAATTTTCCCTGATTGCTAAAGATATTGAACAATTCTTGAGATTTTTTTCTAACTCATTGATATTCTTCTTTTGCTGTACAGATGTGTTTTAGTTTTATAAGGTCCCATTTGTCTATTCCTGGCCTTATTTCTGGACAAACAGAATCCTATTCAGAAATCTTTTTCAACATCTATAGCTTGTAGAGTAGTACATAGATTTTCTTCTAGGAGCTTCAAATTTCACACTGAGCTCTTTGATTCATTCATATTTTATTCAAGGTAACAGATATGAGTCGAATTTCATTCTTCTATATCTAGACATCCAGTTTTCCCAGCACCATTTGTTGAAAATGTTGGGTTTTTTTTTTCATTGTGTATTTTTGGCATCTTTGTCAAATATCACATGGTTGTAGTTACATACACTCATAATTGGGTCTTCTATTTGTACCATTGCTATGATTTGTGTTGCTGTAGCCCTGTAATGTATCTTAAAATGAAGAATGTTAATCTCCTCAATGTTCTTTATACTCAACATTACTTTGGCTACTCAGATTCCTAGAGTAGGAAGAGGGGACATACTGCAAAGTAATATAGCTATATGTGACAAACCAACAACCATCATTTTCTTAAATGGAGAAAAACTTGAAACAATCCCCTTGGAAACAAGACCTAGAAAGTAGTACCCTCTCCCCATTCCTTTTCGGGATGGTGCTTGAAGCATTGTCTAGGGCACTGAGACAAAAGGAGGAATTTAAAGGGATTCATTAGAAAAAAACAGTCCAATTATCCCCGTTTGCAAATGATATGATAGAATACATATGAGACAAAAAATTCCATGAAACTACTTCTAGAAATAATCAACTATTTGTAGTTTTTTTTTATCAGGATACAAAATCAACTTACAAGAAGCAGTATCCTTTTTATAGACCCCAAAGAATCAATGCTGAGAAGGAGCTCATGGAAACAGTCCCATTCACAGTAGTCCCCCAAAGTGTCTAGCAATAAACTTAAATAAGGACATGAACAACCTCTACAATGAAAGTGTGAAATCTCTGAAGAAAGAGTGAGGAAAACAGTAGAAGGTGGAAAGACATCCCATGCTCACGGATGGGTAGAATTAGTATTATGAAAATTACCAAAAGCAATGTAAAGATTGGAGAGATAGATAGATAGATAGATAGATAGATAGATAGATAGATAGAGTAACCTTGTACAAAAAAAGAAAAATGTCTGTCCTTAATCTCAGTACTGTGAAAGGGCTGGCGGGGTGTTTCTTTTTGCTGTCTGTTATTGATCCTTTTTTCTCTTGTTCTGTATTGTTTCGGAAGCCATGGAAATAAAGAAGAATTCTCCTGCAGAGGAATACAACTTGCTGTGGATTGGTTTTTAGACAAAGGCCATAAAGATATCACTGTATTCGTACCAGCATGGAGAAAGGAGCAGTCCCGCCCTGATGCACCAATTACAGGTACTATTTCAAATAAAAAATACCTTCCTCGAGAGTCAAAGATAAAAAGATAGATTGGAGAGAGGCAGGTGGTCTCAATTTAGATAATTGCTTTTCTAAGTTAATTTGCTTAAAATGTTTTTAGCAAGCGTATCTTTATAAAGTGATCCGTTATGAAACCACGCTTGATTTGTGGTACGTGATAGTTAAATAAAAACTTCAATTTAGAAAACCATGAAGCACATAATTGGAAAAAAAGAACATTATTTTTATTGAAATGGTTATACATACCTGAAATCCCAATACTCAATAGACTGAGGCAGAATGATGAATTTGAGACTAACCTGTGCCATATAGTGAGTACCAGGGCAATCTGACTGATAATAGATTTCAAGCAATAGGGAATAAATCTGGTTATGAATATGACTGATTTTTTCAGTAAACTAAAGGTTACATGATATATAGGCACTCTTATTTTGTATCAAAGAAACAAATGTGGGGTTTACAAGTTAGTGGTATCAGAGAAAGCAGCCAAAGACAGTTAAGAAACAATCTGTGTCTGAGGTAAAGAAGGTTCAGAGCCTAGAAATGATCACACTTTTTAAATCTCCACAAAAATATTTTTTTTTGTTCTTTTCACATAAGAATGAAATAGAGAATAACAATGAATGTGTAATAACACACTTAATTGGATTATGTTTGTCTTTATAGTAGCCAAATTCTAAAATGATTTTAAATATTTCTCTATGGAAGAAAGAGCTCATGAGCATATAGGTGCCTAAATTCCAGAAGAATCGTTATGTGCACCTCATGCAGGCAGCGCAGCACTGCGTTTCCAAAGGAACTACTCTGGAAGTCCCGTCAGTGAGTGGGTGGTTGAGTTCTGTCTCCATCTGCAGGGCAGGCCCTAGGCCCAGTGTAAGAGCACATCTCGGCACTGGTGAAGCCTAGTAAGCAAGTTATCGTTACTGATCAGTTGGATCCAAAATGGCCATCGAGAAGGCTCGGCAGGTAAAGGCCCTTGCTGCCAGCTCTGACAACCTGAGTTTAATCCCTGAGAACCAAATAATGGAAAAAGAACTAACCCCTGTAAGATGCCCTTTTACCCCTTCACACATGTCATGGCACACACACACACACACACACACACACACACAAAACAAACAAACAAATAAATAGATGGGTAGATAAATATATAAGTCAGTGTTTAAAGAAAAAGGAAGAAAAAAGTCACTGCTTAAATAATATAGCTTGCTGTCCCACTTTCATTTTGTCTTTCTTTCAGGAAACAGTAAAAACTGAAAGTCTCCATGAGCGATGGCTTAATCTCCTAACAGATATAGCCTTTGCTATATCAAACAGTCAAGAAGCTAGGGATGAGGATAGAAATCAGCGGTAGAGCACCTGCCTACCATGCTCTTGATTCTGGGTTTCAATCCCATGCTTCAGACAAAGGACAAAACAAATATCAAGAAAGCTAGGGTTAGCTGAGCGTGCTGGTACACATCGGTTATCACTGCTCTTGGGACATTAAGATAGAAGAATCTGAAGTCCCAGGCTAGCTTGGACTGCATAGTAACACTGTCTCAAACAAAAGAAAGAAAAAGAATATTAGATCAAATGTTAGTTCTTTCTCTTTGTGACAGTTTTTAAAAATTAGTGTCTGAATCTAGGTTTGTTTTTTGTTTTTTGTTTTTTGTTTTTTTTCATTTTACTGAAAGAATTAAACTAAAGTCTGAAAGAGAAGATGACTAAGTCACAATTCTATTTGATGTCACAGGCAGAAAAGTAGCACACCTATTCTCCAATTACAAATAAAAGATTTATATAGATAATATGATAATATGGGGATAACATGGTTTATTTCCAAAATAAATGTTTTCTACTATGTGGCATATTTTGATAGATCAAGATATTCTACGTAAACTGGAGAAGGAAAAGATTCTCGTCTTCACACCATCCCGAAGGGTCCAAGGCAGAAGGGTGGTCTGCTATGACGATCGGTTCATAGTAAAATTGGCTTTTGATTCTGATGGCATCATCGTGTCCAATGATAACTACCGAGACCTTCAAGTTGAAAAGCCGGAATGGAAGAAGTTTATAGAGGAGCGGTTGCTGATGTATTCTTTTGTGAATGATAAGTGAGTTTCTTTCTAGTAAACTCTAAAGAGTTCATCACAAGTTTTGAGGAGTACTGCATTAATTTCAGTTAACGTATACTGAACACCCACTCTCTACCCTGAAGTCTGCTGGTGGCTACAAAGACAAAAGATTGACTAGGAAGCAGGACTCACCCTCAAGGGACTTAAAGATAGGAGAAGAAAGGTAGAGATGGGGGGAGGGAAGAGAAAATAATGGCAGGATGCTAAAAGTTGCTCTATCTCTTGAAATGAATTCTCCAGAATAAAGTGGGCTGCTGGGTATGTCATGTGAAAGGAACACTATGAGAAAATCTACAAAGGTATGAAAGTGGCTGGTGTATACAGACCATGAAAGAAGGATGCACACGGAGATCATCCTTCCCGTGTGATCAAGTAGAAAGAAAGGGAAGAAACAATGGCTTGTCCTTAGACAGCTGAGGGGTAGAAAGCACCAGTAGAATGCCATGACAATGGGGCAGAGAAGGCGGGCCTGAGCCCTTACAAGCGTGCTGGTGACAGAAGGAAACAATTCACCTCTCACTGGCTTGCTTTCAGATTCATGCCTCCTGATGACCCTTTAGGACGCCATGGTCCGAGCCTTGAGAATTTCTTAAGAAAGAGACCTGTTGTCCCTGAGCATAAAAAGCAACCATGTCCTTATGGTGAGTACGTCCCGACAGAGTTGAGTTCTGTACGAAGGGAAATGGGCAGATTCTTAGAATGCTTTTCCTTTCCACGTTTCTTTTTCAAGTGAGAAATCTTGGCTTGTCCACTTTCTGTGAGTGAAAATCTGGGTCTTTATGTACTCCCAGCTAGGGACATGGAGAAACAGCTTAGAAACTGCACGAGGAAAAGGTAGCTCGAATTGAAGAGGAGATTAGCTGTCACTTAACGTGGCATGCTGTCCCTTGTGAAAATGTGCCCAGGTCCTGAGTGGTGTTGCTAGGAGTAAGGACGAACAGAAATGATATATCCTCAGGAAGCAGAAGGGGCCGTCCCAAAGGGCTGACCCTAAACAAGGTCATGTTTCTTGGGCAGGTAACTCTACCCTCTGTCAATTAATTATACCATCTTCTTCTGATTTGCGCTTCAGTTGCCTCCAAATTTCATTTTCATTTGTACTTCTAAAGTACAGTATTTTTAAACGTGTTCTTGTGTTCTTAACAAAATCCCCCTGATACGAAGTTTGTGAGCCTCACAGAGCAACATGAACTGCTGGGTCTGGGGCTATTTAGGGTGTTTGCGTTTGGTGAAGAATCACTTGTTGAGGGGTGGGTGTGTTTTTGTTTTTTGTCTGCGAATCATGTTCAAATCAGAGTATGTTCATGTGTGTCGTCTCATTTCATCTTCCCAGAATCCTGTACTATAGGCATGGTTATGAACCTTTTTGACCAAAGAGGAAAATGAGCCTTAGAAAAGAGTCACTTGGCCAGATCACAGTCAGTAAAGGACATAGCTGGCGTTGAAACTCACTTCTCACTGGCCTCCAAACGTGCGCTCTCCGCACTGCCTCGGTCTGCTTTCTGTGCCTAAGAAAGGTTGGCCATCACCAGAAACCTCAGGCTAGCCAACTGCTCAGCTCTTAGCTCTTACCCTGCAGTTTCCTCCGAAGCTTTCCACTCTCTCCCTCTCCCTCACAGTCTGTGCTGACTCCTTGGTGTTGTCTGTCTCATCTTTGTGGAGAATTAATTGTCTGCCTTAACCCGGAACAGTCTAACCCTAACCCGAGTGACCAGAATGTTAGGACAATTTCTGGCACAGAGGGTTACACCACTATGAGAGAGAGTCTTACCCCAAGGCATTATTTTTCAGGCAAAAAATGCACCTACGGCCACAAGTGCAAATACTATCATCCGGAGCGGGCCAACCAACCCCAGCGTTCGGTGGCTGATGAGCTCCGCATCAGTGCCAAACTGTCCACAGTGAAAATACTGAGCGAAGACACCCTGGCCAAGTGTGGCGCAGGGATGTCTACTGCCAAAGGTGAGATAACCTCAGAGGTCAAACGTGTGGCCTCCAAGCGCCAATCAGATCCCAGCATCCGGTCTGTGGCTGCGGAACCTGAAGAGTGGTTGTCCATTGCGCGTAAACCTGAGGCCAGTTCTGTCCCTTCACTTGTGACTGCTTTAAGTGTTCCTACAATCCCTCCCCCCAAAAGCCATGCAGTGGGTGCACTCAACACCCGTTCAGCCAGCAGCCCAGTGCCAGGGTCCTCCCATTTCCCCCATCAAAAGGCCTCTTTGGAGCACATGGTCAGCATGCAATACCCCCCCATCTTGGTTACCAACAGCCATGGCACCCCTATTAACTATACTGAGCAATACCCAAAGTTTGAGACGATGGGGGACCATGACTACTATTCAGTGTTAAACGACTTCTCCAAAGTGAGCATCAACAGCATGCAGAATCATGAGTACTATATGTCCGAAGCAAACCAGGGGGTATATGTTCGGAATCCCAGCCTCTGTACCGACAGTCACATGAGCCATACCAGGAATGACAACTATTCCTCTTACAACAACTTGTACTTGGCTGTAGCTGATGCCCATCCCGAAGGCACTTTGAAGCTGCACCGCTCAGCATCTCACAACCATCTTCAGCCGTTTTCCCATGGTTACCATGAAGCCTTAGCAAGAGTGCAAAGCTATGGTTCAGAAGATTCCAAGCAAGCACCACACAAGCAGTCTGTCCCTCACTTAGCTGTGCATGCCCAGAACTCAGCAACTGGAGCACACTCTAGCTGTCCTGGAGACTACACGATGCCTCCCGATCTCCATCCTGTGGGAACCTCCCAGCCAGGCCGTGCTCTGGTGATGACTCGAATGGATAGCATTTCTGACTCCCGCCTCTATGACAGCAACCCCATGAGGCAACGGCGACCCCCTCTGTGCAGGGAACAGCATGCTAGTTGGGACCCATTGCCCCGTACAGCTGACTCCTATGGATACCACTCCTATCCCTTAGGTAACAGCCTCATGCAACCATCTTACGAACCAGTCATGGTAAGGAGCATGCCTGAAAAAATGGAGCAGCTTTGGAGGAATCCTTGGGTTGGAATGTGCAATGATGCTAGGGAGCATGTGATACCCGAGCACCAATATCAGACGTACAAGAACCTCTGCAACATCTTCCCGTCTAACATTGTTCTTGCCGTGATGGAGAAGAATCCGCACACAGCAGATGCGCAGCAACTGGCAGCCTTGATTGTTGCCAAGCTTCGGGCTGCGCGTTGACATGACACAAAGGACTTATTCCTTTACATAAACACGAATACTAATAATACACGATACTATAATTCTAATAAGTAATAATTTGTGTTGTACTTTTAAAATTACAGAGTGTTTATATCATTTTAGTTCGTATCAACTCTGTGAGGTAGATCTTGGTAACATCTAATTGTATAGAGACGGAAACTGAAGCTTGATGAAGTTAGCAGACCTGCCAAGGTCACACTGCTAGTAAATGACCAAGTCAAGACACAACCCGAAGTTCTCTGGCCCAATGTCCCATGTCCTTTTCCACTGAAGCGTGGAGGTAGCGGAGGACAAAACGCAAGAAACCCCAAGGGATTTCATAACTGTTTTCTTTTTGAGTTTTTGGAGACAGGGTCTCTCCTTGTAGCACAGGCTTTCCTGGAAGTTGCTATGTCGACCAGGCTGGCCCTCAACTCACTCTGCCTGCGGAGTGCTAGGACTGAAGGCATGTGCCACCACACCCAGCTACCAGGGTTTGCTTAGTCACATATTCCATATTATAAAGTATGGATCATCTGTCCAATTTATAGAGCAAATACATGAGGATCAGATTGCATTGTGAATTAACCTTTTAAGGGTTTATAATAGAGATATTTAAAACTAAAAGTAACCACAAATTTTATTGCATGGGTATCTGATCATCCAATATCTTTAGCAAAGTATAGGGGCCCATTTGAAACTTCTAAAGATATAGATGAATCCTCCTCTTAGCAATTCTACTGCATGTATGAATTTATATATTTGGTTTAAGATGTGTTTGTATCTCTGCTATCAACTTTTTTATCGTGATAATCGGACTGTAAGCTCTATACAGTCTATAGTTTACACCTGTATAGATCACAAATACAACTCAATGATTTTGTCACATTTTATACTTTCAATTTGATTCAAAAGTGAAATCCCATGTCAACATTTAAACTTTGCTTTCTTGAGCACCAGAGTAAAGCAGCTGGATTTCTTTTATATATTTTACTTGACCACATTTATTAACCATTCTTGGCTTTCAAATCTCTTCACCTTAGCAAATTAAGGGTCAGGCTGAAATTTTCTATAGAGGAGGTACTCTAAGTGCATATTCAACACTTAGTATGTGTGTTTATTATACACAAGCGCTAAAGAGCTGGACCAGGACCAAGGGCCTTACTACCAGACTCTACTTCCCTTATCCCAGGAGGGATGGCATTACAGAGTTGGAACTTCTGACCAATTCAACATTATAGGACAAAGTGTCGTGAAAAAGCGTGCATAATCATGTACACCTCCCTCTCCTGTTGTCCAGCCTTTGAGCAATAAGATCAGTCATTGGTAGAGGAGAATTCCTTCAGGAAACAAAACCAGGGTATTTTCTAGGTGGCAAAAGAGCAGCTTCCAAAGGGGAAGTGCTCTGCTATGCACTTCGAATCCATGCAGAGAGGGTGGGCACACTGGTGGTAGGTAATGCTGAGATGCAGTCAATATTAAAGAGGGTTATGACTTTTGGGTCAGGTAGCACCATTTGCACAGTTTGAATCTTACTCTGGGTAGAATCATTTGTAGCGACATGCCTCTACAAGAGGCATTCATTGTTTTTGTTTTAAGATGCAGTAAATGAGCCCTCCTTTCTGAATCCATTGTATATTTCAACATTTTGAATGATGCCCAGCTCACAATTTCTGAGGCTGGAACTTATTAACTTCTACAGTCCTTTTTCATGAGAGTTGAGAAGGCCTGGCCGTGGCCTTTTGTTTCTTCATGAGAAGGTGTAATACTGCCTATACATGTTTCTTCCTGTGAAACACTTTGAACGTGAGGCTGTAGTCAGGGTTGTTTCTGGTGGTTTGAATAACGGCTTCCATGCTGCTTTCCAGCTCTCTGTGAAAGTTGAAGAATAGTACATCTTAAACCATATTCCCTTAGTCACAACTTCCCAGTTATGTCCTCTCACCCGCTGGTTGTTCCATTCCCAGTCTACTGATAAAGGGAACAGTATTTTCTACCAGGTAGGTCCATACAAACCGACAGTTGTCTCTGCAGTGCTCTTTCCCGCCCGAGCATCACTTCATACCTTCAGCTTCTTGGACCTTCTCAATCTGCCCCTTGACTAAATCAGGGTATTTGACAATCTCAGATTATTCTGATGCCTTTCTACCAATTAGATCCTCTTCCGGCCAATGACTCTGCAGTGTCCATGAGCTGCCCAGGTCCCAGGGAAGCACAGGACACATCTCATTAGCTGCAGTTTATCTGGAACACGTTCATGTTTAAAATGCTAAAGAATTGTAAGCTCCTCCCAGCAGGGGAATTTTTTAAGATAGCATGTGTATTTTTCACTTTCTAAGAAAGGATTGCCATTCTTCTCTCCTCGTAAAATGTGTATGAACCAAAGCAGCTAAGAGCAATGCCTCAAATAACCAGAAATGACCTTTTGTTGATACAAATTGTATCTCTTTTCTCCTGATTGTATAGAAACAAATATACAAAACTCATCTTAAACTATGTTTAGTACTTAATTTTCACCATATTTGTGGCACTGTGTGTCACAGGAAAGTAGCCCAGGGGTAACGAGGGAGCTTTTATTTCCAAAGGGCAGTAGTAGTTTATAGACAAATACAGTTTTCAAGGCCTCTTTATTGTTAGATGCACAACTATTGTGTGTACAATCTGCAACATTGTGATTCTCTTTAGCCTATTAAATTTAACATGTCCTTATAAAGGGGATTTTTATAAAGGGTCAATAGTAATAAACCATATGTAAGAATCTTTAATGGAGCTGTATCATTACGAATGCATTAATCCAGTGTGGTTCTTACATTACAGAAACATTTTTTTTATATCAAGATCTGCACACTTCTTGATGTTTCCATTTTGTCTATAATTATAAAATAGCAAATAAAGAAGAGCATTGAGACCTCGTCAGTGCCCTTAAGGGGCTAAGTGTGTGTCCTCTGGGATACTCACCTCCGAGTACACAGCAGGAGTTAAGGCACAGTGTTCCGTGTGGTTTTTGAGGAGCAGCAGATTCTGTAAGAGGTGCTTTGTAATTTGAATTTCTTCACTGATTTTTCTGACCTCATAGCAAACCTGTGCCTGTCCAGGCCTTAGACTTTGTAGATTTTCTGGTTTTCATTTTCTTGCTGTGACCTTATTGTTGTTGTTTTCATTTCCATCTAAAGGAGAAAGGTGACTCTGGAGGGGTATGGTCAATCCAGGGCACCCTTTCTATAAGACAGCTCACAGAAAAAGGAGCCTTTGCAAGGTAACATGGAACTCCTGAACTCACTTAAGGTACCAGGTGTGGAGGAGAAATGACGATTTATGGAAATGGTCTGTAAAACTTTTCTTCTAAGCAATGAAGCATACAGCATGATTTTACCCCCCCTTAATATCTCAACCTTCTAGTTTCTAAGAGATTACTCCTCTGCAATCCATTTTTTTTTCATTTTGAAATAACCTTTATATAATAATTCAACCATTAATATCTATTAATCTTTGTTACAGCTTCCTTCTAACATGGGACAGTTCATTGTGAAGAAGCTCTCAGCTAACATTCTATCTGTGCTCTACGTGTGCAGCTTTGTACAAATGCCTTTGGGGGGGGGGCGACAATTTCAATAGTTTGTTTTGTTCTGTAAACCAGGTTTGGATTTGCAGAGGGCAAGTAATGCCAAGTTGTCCAAAGAGCCCTCCCTGCTCAGGTCTCCTCCTAATAACCCTTCGCTTCCTCCTCCTAGTTTGCTTCTCTTCGGATATGAAACTGAGGAGTGTATAATCTTCAATCGACCAAAATAGCACCAGTGTTAGTTTTCATTTGAAACAAAACCAGTGTATTTCTACAACTTGCTTGTCTAAAGTAGTCAATGCCTCTGTGAAGACCCAGCATATTTGATATCTATTGTATTATAGCTAGCTATACACATAGGCAGATTGACTATTTTTAGTCCTGGTTTGTGTATCATTGAGCTATAGTAATTTGTTTTATCCATTTGTGGGATTACACAGTATTGTTTAATGGTTGTAAACTTTTTATAAAACCACTTTGGGTTTCTTATTTGACCCAAACATAATGTAAGTCTCAATGACAAAATACAGAGCCAACCTGAGATGAGTGAAAATATAGCCCTTGTCCAGTTTTGTCTGCTCCTAGGATGCATGTGCAATGCTTTCTACAATAACCTCACTAGCATGAATGTACTTACAACTTCTCCATGAGGTTCTGTTTCACCTGTAGTTGTGATGAAAATGCTGTATTGTTGACAACAATGAACTGTAAACCCATTCATTGCATAAACTATTTGTCTACTAATCACTAATGGCTCTTTCTTTAAGCACATCAGCAACAAAAGTCAAAGTCAATGCACAAACACTCCAATTTGTTCCTATAATATTAAACGTATGACCTTCCAATCTGCATTGTTAAATAAACAATAAGACACAGATCCCCATCCCTTCCTCACAGAGTTCACCAGAAATTTACCAAAGTTGTCTAATTTTTTTGTGTTTGTTTCTTATGGTTCTATCAATCAAACTCAGTCTTACAAATGCTAGGTAAGTGTTCTACCCTTGAGCTACATTCTCAGCCCTTGGCATGAGGAGAGTCTTGTTACATACCTCAGGCTGGACTTCAACTTTATACACACATACAATTTGTAAATGGTCATGACCTCTCGGTTCTTCTGACTTTGCTTTTCAAGTACTTGGACTACAGATATACTTGGGAAAATCATTTTCTTGTTCTTTCTTGAGAAAGGTTTGTGTATTTGCATATATAAAACAAATGCTTCAGAAAAACACTTCAGTAAACATTTGAGGGTCTGTCATGTACTGGACATTGTTTTATATTCTTAGGAGATGGCACCCCATGTGGAATTTGAAGTGGGTTACCAATGTTTTTTTTTTTCTTTCAGAAAACGTGTTGTACATAGTATCTATATGATACATGCACATGTATGGGACCATACACCTGTGTGCATACATGTGGACGCCAGAGAACTTTGAGTGTTTTCCTTTAATTTTTTTTTTTTTTACCTTACCATGCCTTGAGACAGGATCTCTCAGTGAACTAAAATCTCACCATTTTGGCTAAGCTGGCTGCCTAAAAAGCTCTTGGAACACAGCTGTCATTTCCTTTAATACTAGGGTTACAGGCATGCACAACCATGCTTTGTGTTTTATGTAGTTGCTGAGATTTGAACGCAGATCCTCCAGCATTCTTATCTATTAACTCATCTCCCCAGATCCTCAAAAGCGTTTTCTAATCTGTCCTGTTATGCACAATCTTATTTCTGAGGTAACTATCCTGCAGATTAAGAAAATGGGATGATTTGCCCAAGGTTGCTCTAATTAAGTACTAGGAAATGCCTGAAACCTGTGTCATTAGGCAGCTTTTTCTTGTCAACCAGTGCATCTCAAACTCCATTTTGCATCAAAATAATCGCATCTATGTCAAAACCATAGAGTCACACCAGTAGTGGGGTCTAATAATCCTCATCCATAATGATCCCAGATGATCAAAAAAAAAAAAAAAAAAAACCTAGCAACCGCTCTCTCTGAAAAAGGGTAAATCACTTCTCTTTTGTCTGTCTCAGTATCTCAATACACTTAAAGGGAAATGTGGACTAGGTTAGGGGCCTAAGAGAAAAAGAATCTCAAGATATTTGAAAAAAATAGGTAAAAAGGTGTGTGTGCATACATTGTGGGGAGCAGAAGGAACCAAGCAAGAACTATTACTTTCAAACCTTTTTCTAGGCAGAAATATCTAATCTTTAAAAAGCAATATCATGTAACCCCAAAACATACACAGTAAAGTGAGCTAGTCTAATGTACACTAGGATTATAAATATGCATCTTTAGACCATGGAATATGTAACCACATATTTTCAAGCCCCTTCTTCATATTTAATCTAGATCATTCTTGCTGATCTTTCAGGCTTTGACTTTTAGGTATACTAGAAAACCTTTAGCCCTTGCCTTTGTGAGAAGAGCAGCATTGGAAGAAAAAAAAAAAACCTCTGTATTAACCAATGCACAAGGGTGCTTTATCAACACCTATATGCTTACATGGTAAAGTTTGTTGTGCTAGTGGACTCATGGACTGCTTTTAAGAGTAACAAAAACTAGATTAGCTCCCTTGAAAAGCAATATATCAAATCAAGATGTGTGTATGTATATATCATACACATAAATGTATATATGTACATATATATAATTACGCATGCACTATATATGCATATATTATAAACATACTATTTATATATTATTCTTTTAGATGATATACACTCCCTTAAGGTCAAGTTAGAACCCTTGTTGAAGTTCAGTGATGAAAATATTTTGTTACCATGGCTGAGGCTCTGGGTACCATCTGCAGGTTGGAGTGGCTTGGGGTAGGCAAGGCACAAAATACCTTGACTCGGTTCTGAAACAGCATTTCCAACATAAAGTTTTAACATTTCTTGGAGCAGCTATTTATAGAAACACCTTAAGGTACTTGGAAGAAGCCTAAGTAACTCTGTACTTCCTCATCAGGCTAAAGGTTCTATGTTTCCTGGCAACTAGGGTCTGATGGAGAAATAGGCACTATGAGGTAAGGTGACTGAAAACTGGGTGACCGTAGGGGAGGGGCTGACATCACTAAGATATATCTTAAAGCTCCAAGATGACTGCAGAAGTATACTGTATCTTTCCTAAGCCAAATGACAAAGAAATGACAAAGTATACCATATTTCCAGCTTTTTCTTTTTCTTGGTTTTTCAGTTTGTTGCTTGCTAAAAGAAAAACTGGATCCCACTCCCTGCTACCTCCTGTCCCCACAAAGCCCCACGCCCCAGTTATTCACTGGGCTCTAGAGCCAGCTATGCCTCTTTTCTGGGCCCTGATGCTTTCATGTAGGCTTGCCCACATTACAGGGGTGCGATGCAGAAATAAGTTTTAAGGAGTCAGGCAGAAGGTATGCCTAAAGTCTAGTTATGAAAGCAATTGGTATACTTAATAGGCCCCAGACTCCAGCTTCTACTTAAAACCCTTGTTACCATGTCACCTGTTATAGAATATCCACAAAATAAAGGGAGAATTACACTTGTCTAACTCAGAAGACACACCCTCATCTCACAAACACCATGACAAAAAATCTGTTTATTATTTTTCAAAACAAAACAGAAAATCTGGGTAAATATTCAAATTTCTATTGCGGTGGAAAGGTAAATTGGTACAGCTGATCTGAACTATTTCCCAGGTTGTTCAGTCTGTACCATGGATAGACTCTGGGCTGTGAAATATAGCGGGGCTTAAAGGCCAATTGCATCAAGACAGTCATCAGAAGAGCTGCAGGCCAGCTTTGAGCCCATGCAATTGTCCCTGGTTCCAGAGAAGGCCCTCCAAGTTGCCGCTGCTGCTGCCGCTGCTGCTGCTGCTGCTGCTAGAGTTGCTACTGCCTCCACAACAACTTAGGCTCAAAGTGCTGCAGAAAAAAATGGGGAGTCAGTCAGGGAAAGGAGTGGCTCTAAACTCTGGAGGAGCTAAGGGAACTTGACTTGTATGTGCCTGTGGGAAAGGCCAACTTCCTGCCTGTCTTTATAGAGATAGGAGCTACTCTTGACAGATGATTTCAGGTGAGAACCAGGGGTGGCTCTTCTCCCTGCCCATGAAAGGAAGGAATGAGATTAGAACTTCTCAAGTGAAGCATTACACAGAATTGCAGTACAGAAACTATGTTAAATCTCATGTATTGCTCGAGGTTAAGGGATAGAGGTCCCACCTCAGCTCCAGGAGGATAACAGAGTGGCTGGCTGCCTCGGTAGAGCCTCTTTCCAAGGTCCTAGAGCTTAGGACCCAAAGGACATTCGGGTGGATCCCTCTCACATCTAATAGCGAGTTAAGGGGCTCAATATGAGGCTTGGGATATAGAGTTAATGTGACCCAACCCTGCTCCATATTTTAAGACTGCATGAGGTACACAACTATCCTCTGTCTCCCTAACCTCACAAACACTCTGAGTTCCTGCTTCCTGTAGATCAAAGGTCCTTCCAGCTAGATGAGGTGCCATTTAGTTGATAGCACTCAGGCAGATCTATAGTTACAGTGGATGAATGAAAAAATAAAATTATTCCCTGGCAATGCTGAAGCATGCATAAGCAGCCCATATATGGTGGTTCTGTTGAACTTGTCCATATTGGCTTTCATGATGATGACGATGACTGACCAGGTCTCTTCCTCAAGAGGGCACAATATCCTTACTACAGATGATTGTGAGCCACCATGTGGTTGCTGGGAATTGAACTCAGGACCTTTGGAAGACCAGGCAGTGCTCTTAACCAGTGAGCCATCTTTCTAGTACTATAGTTATAATACTATAGCTGAAAAAAAAAAAACCTTAGAAATAAGTCCCACCCCTTTCCATCACCCACAACTTTACAAAGAAACTAAGGTCCAGAGTTGAATAAGAAAGAATCTACTCAAAGTCACAAAGCCAAATCAAGGGTAAAGCTGAGCAAAGTAAGGGTTGGCATTTCATATACCAACTACTAATGGAAGAGGGCTACAAAGATGGGCCAAGTCAACAGCTCTATATGCCCTGGCACTCACTAAGCCAAGCTTTCCTAGGGCCAGGTTAGTTGGCGGAGAAAGGGGCCTCTTATAATGGAATCCCACTTCCAATTGGCTTCCCCAGCTACCTCCTCTATTCATCTGCTTCTGGGGCAATTAGATTTTAGAGTCCTCCCCCAGAATGCCCAAGTGAAGGGGAGTTCAAGTCATCTCCTAGGGAATAAGCAAGCAGAACAGGAATGGACTCTCAATTCCAATGGCCCATAGACAAATGCATATAGAGAAGCACTTGTATACAAACTGGACTCAACCTGGAAGTGGCATCAAATCATGTGTGACTACTCCACTGGTTCCCTATACTAGGGAAAAGAAATAGGAATACTAACAAGGGCAAAACTACTGACTCATCCGACCCACTTTTGTTTCCTCTTCATCCATCAGAGGCACTCAAAGGGCTGAGAAAGCCCACTGCCACAGGTACTCACCTACTCCTGGACTTTGGGTCTTCTAGCCGCTGCTCGAGTACAGGTTGGTCCAAAAGATACATGGTGTCGTAATTATCCAACAAAAGTTCTGTTGGGTCGTCAGTCTGACCTGGCATTCGGCCTATAGGGAATGCACCCCATCGCACATCTTCTGTATAACAAAGAAAAGTGGCAAGAGTAAGCTTGGGAAAAGTCAAAACTATACTGACTCCATCTTAATTAGAAAGGCAGTCATTAAAAAAAAAAGAAGTAACAATAAATGCTGGTAAAGATATGGAAAGGGAACTCTCATATGCTGCTGATGGGAATGTAAATTAGTCGAGCCACTGTGGGAGTCAGGATAATGGTTTCTCAAAACAAAAAAAATAAACCAACAATAACAACAACAAAAACCCAGAGTACCGTATTTACCCAAAAGATTTCAAAAATCAATGTATCACAGAGATGTTTGCACATCAGTGTCTATTACAGCATTATTCACAATAGCCAAACCATGGAACCAACCTAGGTGTTCAAGAACAGAGGAGTGAATGAAGGAAAGGCAACAGATAAATATCAAGGGTTTTTTTCAGCTCTAAAGAAAATGAATGCTATGGCAGGAAACCATATTAAGTAAGCCAATCTCAGAAAGACAAATACCAGGCCTTCTCTTATTTGTGCTATCTATCTTACATACATGCATAAAATCATGTACTGCACATCTCACATTAAAGTACACATTTTAACTGTCTAGGGAAGCGAGGCGAACTAATGAGAGAGGAATGTAAAATGATAGGAAGGTATGATGGCAAATATCTTTAACATATAATGTATGCTTTCATGAAAACTTAGACTAATTTTAAAATATCAAATAAAAATATTTACAGAAAAAAAGTGGGCTGATGAGCTGGTTTTCCTACTGGTAGACAGGCGCACCCCCATCTACCTACCTAGCCCTATTAGCTTTCTACATGTCCCAGGCTCTGTCCTCACTGTTAGCAGCACTTCTCAAGAATACTCTATGCATCTTAGCATTCCACCACCTTGGCACTTTATAACTCTTACCCTATGTGCTTACATTATCTACACATACACACAGCTACAGACACTTTTCACCGCATAAGCAAAGACATCCTCAGATATGGCTGTATCAATGCATTAATTAGTGGAAATCTCAGAATTCTCACAGCATGTCCTGTCCATACCCACCAATACTGATCACAATTGTTTATACAGCTATACCCCCATGATGTGTTTGAATGCCGTATCCTTTCTTAGTGGCCTTGCCCAAAGATATATATATATATATATATACACACACACACACACACACACACACACACATCCTTAAGGGTGGATACTATTTCTGAGGTTAGAACAATCTCTCTATTTGCACATCTCCCTAATCCTGGCCCTGATAAAAACTTGTATCTGTCCTCATAATCTTTTATCACCCAATACAGATACCATCACACACAAGGCTCACTACCATTGGTTCTAGCAGGCATGAGCTGGCCATTCCCATCACTAACATTCCCAAACATATGTATATTATTCCCATATATCTTTAGCCTGACATCCTTGTACATGTCCTCTAAGTTAGAGCACAGAGCCGATTCTAAATGGCTCTCACTGCCTAGTCATAAACCCCTCTGCAGGCTCCCACCTTCCCTCACAGACACTTTCTGGATCTCATGTGTCTCAGCTGATCTTGCTTCCTCTTCAGAAAACACATACAACACTATGACCTATTTGAGATTCTCTTCACCTCCCCTATTTTTCTCTTCCACCCACATCTAACCCCACCCTACCCCACAGACACAACTGTTCCGGTGCCAATTCCTCTCCCTTTTGCTATTTACAAATCCCCAACCTCTCAGCTTTCCTTGCCCTAAGAGGTTTTTCTGTTCTATTTCACAATTTACCTATCAAATGTCACACAGACATGGACAGAGACAGACAGACAGACACACTGCTCACTCACTCCTGGCACTCCCACTCGAGTTTTTATACCACAACCCTTCCATACCTGTCTTCATAGGGCAAAGGCTACAGATCTTCCCACGAGCTCATTCAATTCTTGATTCTATCTTACTCCTCACTGGGCTCAGCTGCTTTCCTTCCTTCTCCAGGCTTTGGCACACAGACCACGCCCCTGCCTCTGGTTTCCATGTGCATGCAGATATGTACCACCCCATATTGATTGTTCTATTTGCTCCATGTCTGTTTCCATTAAGGCTCCTCCTCAAACTAAATGAAGTCATTCAAAAAACTACCCTCAGAGAAAAGGACCCATGCACCTCACTCTCCATCACCAAGCCTCCCCTGCATCCTCTCTGGGCTTCAATCTCATGGACTTGGATGAACACCTAACATCTGAACCACTCTCTATTTTCTTTTGATCTTGTCTCCAGTTTTTCTGACTTAATACCCCAGGTTCCAATACACACAGCAAAAACTAGTTACCACCAGTCAGTCTCTATGTGTACATAGAAAGCACTCTTAGTGTACACAAAAGCATGTGCCCTAATACATACACGGCCCTGGTCTATCACATTCTTTTCCTCTTACTGCCCAGGTAAGATCACATGCAGGTACTTACTTAAATGTGCTACTTATGTGAAGCCACTTGCCATCCATGTATCTGGGTGCCTAAGGCTTGTCACACACTATCTACATCCTGTCCCTTTCTCATCTATTCTCTGGGGGGAAGGAAGGCCTCAAGAGACAGCCAGCAGAGCACAATGGCATCAAACTATAATTCTACCTGCTCAGGAGGCTGAAAAGGGGATTACTTGAACCCACAGGAACAACAGCAGTATAGGCAGCATAGTGAAACCTCCATCTCAAAGAGTTACAGCTGAGGATAGTGGACATGCACTCAGAAGGCTAAGGCTACAGGATCTCAAGTCTAGGGTTACATTGTGATACTGAATCTTAAGAGAGATGGGAAGAGAGGCAGAGGGAAACTGAAAACAGAAGAAGGGCCAATGAAGAATCGAGGCAATCGATAAAGAAGAAAGGAAGTGGATTTAAGGGCTACTTACCAGAGCTTAGTTGCCATGCTGAACCCTGCAAAGCTTCCCTTTTCCAGGACATGACCCTAGTATTCTCAAAATCGTAGGATTCCTTCATGAGAGAGAAAGCCCCCATCTCCATTCTGTCTTCATCGTCATCGTCGTCTTCGTCATCATCATCATCATCGTCGTCGTCGTCTTCATCCTCATCCATTTCCTCTTCTTCCTCTATCAAGTCATAACTTTCCTCTACATCTTCCTCCATCTGATCTTGAAAGACCTTTTGCTCCTGTTCCTCATCCTCATCCTGCTCCACCTCATTCTCCTGCTGCTCCTCCTCCTCTTTCTCCTTTTCGTCCCCTTGCTTGGCATCCTTAAGGCTGCCTTGCTCCTTCTGTTGAGTATTTTCTTCAGACTCACAGTTGGCACCAGATGGTTTTGGGTCCTGATGTAAGGTATCCAATGTGTATGGACTTTTCCCAGCTGAAGAGGAACCTACACTTGTCTTTGCCACACCATTCTCTCCATTCTGAGTATAAATGGAACAGACACGCAGCAGCTTCTCCTGCTCCCCATCGGGCAAGACCTGTCCCATGGCGTTGAAGACTCTAAGCAAACGGAGGGATGGAGTAGGAAAAGGTCAAGGTCTCAAGTCAGTTCATAGCCCAGCACTCTGGGGTTTGAACTTATTCTCTTAACTTCAATACCTGCCTCTGAAGGGCAGCACAATAGGGCAGAGAGAATGCAAAACAGGAACATGTATGCTAGCTCAGTTCTCTGGCACATCTGTACGCTTTGCTTCTATCCTCATTAAAATGAAGACAATAGCAGAATCTAACTTCTAGGGTTCTTGGGAGGAGGAAATAAAGCTCACCTAGAATGCCTGGCTGAGTGTCTAGCACACGGCGACAGGCAATGAGTGACAGCTACTAGTCTGCACTCAAACACTACATAAATATAAACTAGCCTAAATGGGCATATGGGACTGGAAATCAGAATGGGAGAACAGTCTCTCCTTTGGGCCTAGCTGAGGATTCTATCCTGAGGGCCAAGGATATGGTGGGAGTGTGCTGGGTTTCTTCTGCATGGAACACAATGTGTGATTCCTTATGGGAGCAGCTACAGCCCAGCCTGGAATGGAGGAAAAGAAAGAAAACAGCAGCAGTTGACGAGACAAAGCGAATGTGGAAGGGAGGCCTGATGAGCACTGTTAATTGACTGCGTGCTATAGGAGCTAAGGGGAAGCAGAAAGTTCAAGGAGGGAGCAGAGACCGGGGAGGGCTTCATGTAGGTGAGGCCCAGGTAGCCCAGGGACAAGAGGGAGCACACTGCCTGTGGCCAGAGTAGCCTGGCGGGAGGGCAAGGCCCGGGCTGGGGAGCTGTGGGAAGAAAAGAAGGCTGGGAAGGGAAGTGTGTGCATCATGGGGCAGGCCATCTGCCAACTCTGAGGACAGGTCAAAGTCCCCGTTTCTGAAGATCACCATGCTAACCACATGGAGGGAGGATGGCCAGGGCGGGGAGCCTAGAGGCAGGAAGACCAGGGAGGCACCTGTTTTCACAACTCAAAACAGTTGGGTAGGGAGGACCTCAGGCACTGTTGGTAGACATGGCAGGGAGGAAGCTGTAAAGGACAAACACACAAAGAGCACGGCTTGGTGACCAACGGGAAGGGTCCAACAGAGGAGAATTCAACAAGATGATACTGTGCACATAACAGACGGTGCTAACAACAAAACCACTAACAGATACGGAGCTGCTGGGGAGGATGAAGGTGAGCACAGCTCACAGAGCCTGGCCCCTAAGAGGTGGCCGGCACTGTGGGACACACAGCAGGATGGAGGGATGGGGCACGTCCTTCTCGAAGTGTAGAATGTGAACTAGGCATGTTTTGCAGAGAGAGCACAAGCAGCGCATGCAGACTGGTCGCAAATGACTGGCCACTGGTCTCTGGGGACAGAGCTGGGATCTACTGACTGGACTGGGAGTCCCTGTTGGCAGAACTCATCTCATATTCCAAGAGGACACTCGTTGATATCGAGCTGATGGCCCAGCTGAGGGAAGCTCCTGGATGCCTACGGCTTTATGTGAGGAAAAGGCAGGAAGAAAGCCTACCCTCTCTCTCACTGGGGTCCATTAGTGTGATTAATAATAAATGTCCTCAGGCACTTGACGTTGGCAAGATGCCTTGTCCCTGCTGCTTATTACCCGTCCCCTGTGCCCAGCTTCTAGCCGGCCCATTAGGTGCTGTACTGATATAAATCATCAAATGCATCTCTTTCCTGACAGCCTGGGACTGAGGTCATGGGCTTAGGCTGGTAGAAAGAAAGTGGAGTTTAGACCCACAGAACTCAGGTCCCGATTCTCATCTCATTATCCAAAAAACACTGTGATTTTAAGGTACTGCAATCCTTAGTCCCTAGATACCCTATCTGTGAAAATGTATTATACTTCCACCTCCCAAGACTACTGTGTCAAATTAAAGGAAATAGCCTACTGAAAAAAGAAACGGGATGCCTAATACTTAATTATCTGTGGTATCTTTTATATTTTCTCTGGAAAAAAAAAAAAAACAAAAACAGAGGTCTGTATTCACATAGTAACAGGTTTTCTGCCATAGCTCAATCTATGTGGAACATTAAAGAAAACCTCAGACATAAGGACAGGCTACAGGGGGTTTGGGCCCTAACTGTAGCATACCTAGGCACAACCCCTCTATTTCCCACTCTGTATAATGGGTGATTTGATGCAAATTCATTGATTATCTGAGAAAGGTAGGATCTGTGCACAAGGAATCGTACCCAGGTGAGCCGCTGTTACTGCTGGCATGTGTCGCATCCCTCTGATATGCTTGGGTTGGGAGAAGATCTCTGTGGTCCAGACTTCTCCAAGACCAGCAGCTTCCACTCTGCAGGCACTTAGGATTGGAAAGTACCTTGAAGGCCATCTAATCAAACCTCTCCATTCTGCTCTTTTCACTCCCTCCCCCACGTACAAACACATCTTACATTCCTTCTACACTTTTCAGAACTTCCTTGATTTTTTTCTTTTGGAAACGCACAGTGCTTCCTTTGATGCTCTAGCCTGACTCCTCCATAAACTGCTAGCTTGTTTCCCCATTTCTATTCACATCAGTCCTATTCCAGAGCTCACACATCTGGCAGCGTGGCTGTACAGCTTGGTCCCATCTCCTGAAGCTCCTGCCTTGGCTGAATTTGTCTGTAAGGCCACATTTTTAGTTTATAAATATGATTGTAGCCCAGATGCCACTAAGGGTTCAAGAAAGACTTTTGGATCAAATAGATGGATGAGGAAACTAACGCAGTCTTGGCATCCAGTCTTCCACTTCACTCATTTCTCACACACTGGGTCATGTCCTACCAATATAAGCACTGCTGCTAAGGAAACGGCAGAGGATATTTCACTGAGTTCAATGGCATTTACTAAAGTCTGCCTGGTGACTGGATTTGTGTAATACGCTGGAGTACAGAGAGCTAATGCAGAGCTCTTGCCCTTGCAAAGCTTAGTCTAGGAGAGGGAGGAAGGAGACACAGGGGGGCGGGGTAGACACGGCAACATAAATCTCAAATTTGGAAAATATTTAGGAGTCAACAAAGGTTAGACTGTGCTACCACCAAGTGAGATCTGCAACAATAAAGGATCTGCTCTCGCACTGGACTGCCCATTCAAAGGCAGATGTTGAACATACAGTTGGATAGAGGAAACTGAACTGTGGAGGAAAAGGAGATGTGAGCTGAGAAGTTTCTATGGACAGGAAATAAACACTGGCATTTCCAGGAGGGTATGGCATTCAGCATTAACGTAGCAGACATAGAAATTAATGAGGAGACCTGGTTTAGATAATTAGGTCAAGGCAGCTTTGGGACCGAGTACCAACAAAACCGCAGCAGGTTAAGGAGGAAAAGAGGAGAAAATCAAGATGCTGCGTGAAAACCACTTTTGAGAGATAGGAGAAAAAAGTGCCAAGCTGATAATAAGCAAACAAAAATATGCATGGTCAAAGCAGATACTGCTTGTATTATTACTCCTTTAACATGGAAAAAAAAAAAACTCAGACACATTCATAAAGGGTAAGAACCAGCTAAGCAAAAGAGAAACTGCAGTGGGGCCCCAACAATGCTGGCCTCCGAAGCACAGACAGAAGAATGGGTTTTGATGCAGTGCAAGGCCACCTCAAACTGAGATTGGTGGTGTTGACTTTAGAGACAGACCAGCTCAAGAGGACTCAACATCAGGTTGAGGGAGACCTGGTACATGCCTTCATGTACTGAAGGAAGCTAGGGTGAAATGCAAGGACTAGAGGTCAATGGGATGTGTTTAAAACAGTCCAAGACTGGAGCCCAAGAGGTCAGTAACAAATGCGTAAACATAGAACTGAAGCCTGGTGGGAGACTAGAAAGTGTAAAGCTACATTGGCAGCAATGAGCAGTGCTGTGTTTTTCTCAGGGCAAACTGGACTAGCTACCCAGGCTGAGGGGAAGGAAGAAACAGAGCTGGGAAATGAATCCCAGCCTGGGAGTCTGTAAGTCAGACACTGCCAAAGGATCACAAGAACAGAAGGTGCCAAAGAGAAGTGATGTGATTAACTACAGACAAGGCTGAGGAAGCAAAATAAAGGAAAGAAATAAAGGGATGGCGGTTGGGACCCAGGTAAAAGCAGTGTCACGGGATAGGAGGGTGAAAATGAAAGGACAAGACATGGTCACCAAGTAGAATGCTGGGATGTCAGCTTTCGGAGGAAGAAAGCTCGGAATAATGGAAATGTGCTGCTGTGTACAGTACAGAATGAAAATCTCCGGAGTTGAGGAAATGTGGGACAAATGGGTCACTCGAATGACAAATACTGCTCTAGAAAGCAGGAAGAGAATCAGGGACTAAAGGCTTTCAGGAGAATGAGGGAAGTAGCTTAGGGCCAGGAAGTGACAGAAAAGAGGGAAAGGCAAACAACCACAAATATTTACAGGAATCAAAACAACACTCCAACTGAGCACACAACTTAGAGAGAACTGAATAAAGGGACTCACAAGAGATATGGTTACCATGACAGGTAGGTCCAGAAACACAAATATAACTGGATGTCAGGTTAAACCTTCATTCTGCTAAGAAAGCATTGGGGATTGTTGTGTAACTATCAATGGTATACTTTAGGAAGCACATAGAGGAGATAGCACTGGGCTTCGAGCCAGAAGACCTGGGTTCAATAATAAACACCAGTTACCATTTACTGTGCACTTACTCTGTGCAGGCCACTATGCTAAGCATTCTCACACCAGACTCAGTTTAGCCAAGTCTTAAAAGGAATGACCATAGGAAGCAGCACCCTACCCCTCCCCTTTCCAGACTCAGTTCTCCAATCTGTTACTGGAAGGAATGGGATACCAGGATAGAATTCTCCAAAGGAGCCTTCCAACTCTGCCAGTCTAATGCTGTGAGGCCCCGAGGCTTCCAGGGCCATACCCTATTACCAGAGGGAACTAAGACTTACAGCTGAAGGAGTTGGGGACTGGCCCAGCAAGGTGAGCCCAAGCAGGACTCGACCACCTGGGGCCAATCAAGGGAGGCAGAACAGTTGAACAGCCTCCAGCTCTTTCTTGCTTCCCACTGGCTTGCAGAAAACTTCCGGGCATTCCGTCCTGAAAGAAAACAGAGGCTTAAGATAAGATAAAGAGTCAGGTGAGTCCTCCACCCAATCTTTGACCTCAAAATTCAGGATCAATCCCTCATCACCCCCCCCCCACCCCCTCAAATCTCCACCCTGTATTTTCCAACTGTGCAAAGCATCCAGAGCGCCCAATTTACTTGGCTCTAAGAAGAGAAAGGAAGAGGGAGATCTATTTGTTCACTACTCCCCACAGGACTCTCTTGAGCAACTTTAAACCTTTAACAAGGGAGCTGTCCACAAGCGGAGACCACTGGCATATGCTTCTGCTTGAGATGCCTGGGCCCTGGGAAGAGGGCTAGTTTTCCTCACCAATCTTGGTGTTGGCCACGATCAGTTCAACAGTCCATCTAAGGATGTAGGTAGACCGGATCCCAGTGCTCCCCAAGGTAGACAACTCAAAGAACATCCTCTCCAGCAGGGCCTGTGTGAAGGTCTGGGAGTGCAGGCCCCTGAGCAGTGGCTGCCAGAACTGAGAGAATGGCTTTGGCACCAAGACGTCACTCAAGTTGATGTTTTCTGGTTTGTGAGGGATACCCGTTGATGATGGGAAGGGCAATGGGGTCAAGAGCAAAAGAATGAGAGAGCACCAAAAGCAAGCCAGCAAGAGGGGGAGAAGAAAAAATGCAAACCAAAGAGAAAGAACAGACATACCCAAGTCCCAACAACAAGAATTGCCATTGCAGAGCAAGAGGAAAGGAAAGCAGAGCAGGGAAAAAGAAACCAGTTAGTATCTGGTAAACAACTGATACAAAAGCAAATACAAAAGAAAAAGAGCTCTGATTCTGACTTCAGCTTTGTCGATAACTCACTGTGTGAATTTGGTTCAGTAACTTCCCCTTTCTGGACCTCAGTCTGACCATCTGTAACATGAGGATGTTGGACTAGATGACCTCTCAAGGCCCTTCCAATGCTGCTGTTCTAGCTCTCTAGCTAGTGGCTAAATCATATTTAACAAGGCACAACAACAGTGTTAAGAAACCGCCGCCCTACCCATCCCTACCCACCTTGACCAATTCAAGGCCACCTAAAGAAAGTCCCACTACTACGCATCAGCAGGACTGTCTATTCTGTTCAGCCAAAGGGCTGAAGTTTCAGTCCCGTCCCACCCCACACTCCAGCCCACTTCTGGAGTTCCCACACAAGAAACACAGAACCCTAAGAGTCCTGTGGACATCCGGGACCCTACCTTCATACTCTATCTGCAAAGCTGCCAATTGCTCGAAAGTGGGGATAAGGAAGCCTTCGTCCAGAAAAGCATCCAGCACAGCATCCCTAAAGCAAACAGACAGTAATTTAAAGGGCACGGTTGCACACGCCTACAATCCTAGCTACTCAGGTGACACAGGAGGCCAAGGCAAAAGCATCCTCAAGTTCAGAACCACCCTGGGTAACATAACAAACCTCAGTCTAAGGAAGAAAAAGGTGTCCTTTCCAAATATACTGCATTGATTCACTGGCTATTTAAAACAGAAATATGAGTTTGTACCATTGTCTGGGGCTCATTGGTACAAGACTTAGCACAGTGTGCGTAAGGGCCAGGGCCTGATTCCCAGCACAAAGAAGAAAGACAAAATAAAAAACAAAACAAAAAAAGCACACACTAAAATGCAAGCTGACAGAAGACTCACCCATTCCTGCAACACTTCCAAAACAGCTAATGTCTCTGGTTCAAATGGCCAGAGTCAGTGGGAGGGACTAAGTAGGTGACAATAGCTATTAGGCTTCAGGTTCCTGGGGGAGGAGCTGAGCCAGAGTCTGGAATTAGTGGGCTTTAAACACTCATGGACCAAGCACATGGTGATGTGATGTCTATAAATGAGAGCAGTGGTGACTGAACAACTCAAATAACAGAAGAAAAGTCTTAGGCTGACAGAAAAAAAATAAATGCCTAGGTTAGAGCTCAGTTCCTACAATATTTTTCTTTCTCCTGCCCCTTTCTCTGTCCTCTACACATTCCCTTCTTGCTACCTTCTTTTAGATCCTAGAAGTTGAAATGTTAGGTATTCAATTGCTAGTCCAAATATGATTCAGGACTTCGTACGAGAACCCAGATCAAAGTTAGAGGGGTTGAAAACTTCACCAATAGGGGAGATTTCTCAGCTTCATCTAGCTCAAATTTAAATCATCAACAGTGAATTCTCTACAGCTACTGGCTTGCTAACAACCTCTCCTAGCTGACTAGGTCTAAAGGAGTCAATAAGCTTTCATGATGTCCTAGTATCTAGAGGGCCGACAACATAGTCAGTTCCTTCTATCCATCAGACCAAGTTTGAGATAATAATTGTCCTTCCAATCATCCCTCATCTCCTCAAATAAGTAGCTTAGAACTTAAAACAGCCACCAGCTGTCTGCTCAGCACAAAAGGGCAGATACTACTATGTAGGGCACAGGGGTAGTTCTTCCCAGCTGCTGGAGAAGCTATTCCTCAAACTTTTGCTGAAGGGTAGAGTCAAGAAGTCTAGCATGGGCAAATTATAGTAAAATGCCAAATTTTACTATAATTAATTAAATAATTAAATGTGTGGGGTGCACACATTTAATCTGAGCACTCAGAAAGCACAGGCAGGTAAATCTCTGAGTTCCAAGACAGCCTGGTCTACATAGTACATTTGAGGCCTGCCAGAGCTATATAGGGAGACCCTGTCTCAAAAAACAAAACAAACAAAAATCCATGACAGCACCATCACCTTTGGAACTAATCTTCTGGAAATAAAGACAAGATAACAAGAGTAATCCCAGCTTACATGACAAGCTTCCATCCAAACTCACCTATAACAGATCTAGTATAGATTCTTTTCAACTCTGCGTCTTAGGTATCTTTTAACTTTCCTTCACTGTAGGGCCAGCATTTACCTCCATAGTTTTTTGTTTCATCTTTTCTTTCCCTTTTGGCACTGGAGATATCAAGGCCAAGGTTTTGTGCACACTAGGCAACTGCTCTACCACTGAACCACATCACACTCCCAGCCTGCCTCCTGTGCACACTAGGCAACTGCTCTACCACTGAACCACATCACACTCCCAGCCTGCCTCCACAGGTTGCTGTTGGTAGTGAGTCCTTCAAAGCCCTTTCAAATTGAATTAGGCAGAATAAACAAGAGCAACATTTTTGCCTACTCAGCTTGAATTGTGGGCAGGGAGACACACCACAGCCATACCGAGTGGGAGAGGAGGGAACTTAGTCTCTAGCAGCCACACCCTAAGAAAGCTCTGCCTTTGTCTGCCTAGGCATGACTAGGTAGCAAGGTGTTAGTTGCCAGGAAAGGCACTCCTAACTCTGGCTGTTCTAGTAACTACAACAGGCAACTTGGTAGCTAGCAGGGTTAGAGGCACACCATACAGAAGACATAGTCACCATAAAAGGGAGGAAGATTTCCTCTAGGATTTCCTACAACAGAGATCAGCTAGCTAGAATATGACACCTGCTTTCCCTTTCTGGTACTAAGAATTGAATTCAGGGCATTGCATATACTAGGCAACCATAATACCGCTGAGCTATAATATTCCCAGGCACCTTTCTTTTTCCCCACTCAACTATTATTTTGAGATAGGGTCTAATAAGTTGCAGACTGGCTTTGAACTTATTCTATAGCACAGGCTGTGAATTTGCAATCTGCCTACCTCAACCTCCCAAATAGCTGGGATTGCAAGTCTACATCACCAGGTATGGTTTGGAAATCAATTTCAATGAGGCTTTCGTCCTCTACCCTAGAGAGCAGGTAACCCAGAGTTACCAAGTTACAAACCTGTTCTCCCATGTAATGCTTTTGATTTCTTCCAGGATACATTGTACACACGGAGAAAGGTTGTTCCACACCTTAACAGCCTGAGGTAAATGCCTGTATTTCTCCAGCACCTGATAGCAAAAGGAGTCAATCAGAAGTGTGACCCTGCCAAGCAACCCACCCCAAATTCCTTTAGGATCCCTTCCCATAGTACCTCAGCATTGCCCTTAAGGGAACAGGACAAAGCACACAAGATGGGCCCGCAACTCCTTTATTGGCCCAGCAACTAAAAAAGACTAGATTTTCTTCTTTTCCCACTCTCCCCCTCCCAATCCTGTGGCTCCCAATAATCAGATACTCTGATACTAGGTGTCACATGGAAGGATATGGTTTGAGGTAAGCTGAGATTTTTGAGCCAAAGGGTAAGGAACATATGGGAGAAATGAGTTATGGGAGCAAGGGAATTGTTGAGACCCAAAGTTCTTATCCTACTTCAGTTATTAATTATGTATATAACTCTGACTCTGTCCCGTTCCTCATCCAAGGTTTCAACCTGTCTGTAAAAAAGGGAGAATGAACTAAATGATTTCTGAGCCTTTCTATAAAAACTACCTTAAGTCTCATCTGATGGAGGGAAGCTCATTTGCCTCACCTGCTGGTCATCTTGAGAATCACAAGGCTCTACAACTAGCCCATTCCCAGTTCTCTACACCAGAGGAGACAGTCCATCACCATCACTATGGGTTTGCCTCCTTCCATCACTTCACAGGACCAGACTCTGCTCTCCTCGTTCCTAGTCCCACCCCTCCAAACAGTACCTTCATGCTTTGCCAATTTTCTTCTAAATTCTGAGAAGCTCCCTCATGCTCTGCCACTTTCAAATTCTTTCTCAAGATTCCTCTCTCAGGTAGCTGGCAAGAGGGAAGAAATGCCTGTGGCAGGTAACAGCATACTGCACCAAGGACACTTACCTTAAACTGCTCCTCTTCATATGATACCAGCAATTCCCGTGCTTTTTCTGAAAACAGCATGGAAAAACGGTAGGGAAGGAAGCCCAGCCTCCCATTCCCTCTGTGAATCTGAGCCTCTTGTATCTCATTTCTTATGCTATAAACTGAGAACTAAAATTCCTTCCCCACTTACTTCACATAACTCAAGAAAAATCATGGGGCAAACGCAATAACCACTACATCACGGAACTATCCCAGTGAGATAGTTTCTTTCCAACAGTCAGTTTCTATACTGGGACTCGCTAGATCCCACAGAAACGATCCATTAGGGAAACAAGCAGTTCTGAGCCCAAGCTGAGTGTCCTTTGCCCACATGAATACCTACCGTACAGCTCTTTATATCTTGGACTGGGTTCTGGAGGAGAATCTGCCTCTTTCTTGTCTTTATCGTTCACATTGTCCTCAACAGGCAGCTCTTCATCTTTGTCATCCTCCTGAGGCTCTGGCTCTGGCTCTGCTTCTGCTTCTACTTCTACTACAACATCAACAATAGTTTCACCTTCCACTTCTTGGTGTTCTTCTGGCTCTATCTGGTCGTCTTCCAACTCCCAGGTCTCTTTCAGGGTATCCTCCAGTTGACGGCTCCAGTACGTCTTCTGGAGCCAATTCAGGACAAAGTAGCAACCTAGGAGAGGTGGGTGAATGGGGCAGAAATGTCATAGGACCAACTATGGGCAAGTAACTAGCAGGCTCCTAGCTTTCTGGGCTTCTGCTCTCATTTTGCATGTATAAATGGGAAAGTCTAAGGAAAAGACGTCTCCAGGGCTTAACTCCCAAGTAGCCACATAGAGCGTCTCTTGAGCCTGGTCTTTGTATTCTCCTGCTCACTAGTATCTTTCCCAGGAGAAAAAACCACTACTACTGACCTTAGACATGGGTAACAAATAAAATAAGGGGTGGTAAATGGGAGACCTGAAGCCTAGCTACACCAGCTACTTAACATTCCCTTAGCCAAATTGCTTTCCTCTTCCAGATCTCGGTTTCCTGATTACAAGGAAGAGCCCAAATCAGGGAGTTTTCATCAAGATAAAAAGAATGCCGAGTTCATGACACTATGGTTTACACCTCTCAACCCACCCCTTCAGACTACTTCCACCTAAATAACAAAATTTAAGAAGAAAACATACCCTATAATTAAAATATCAAAAAGGACCATAACAGTGGGGCTAAAGAGATGACTCATCAGCTAACAGCAATTGTACCTACAGAGAACCCAGGTTCAGATCCCAATGCCTAGAGCAAGTGGTTTATGACTGCCTATAACCCTAGTTTCAGAAGCCCCCAAAACCTCTCCTGGCCTCTACAAGTACACACAGATAAATAGTAAATACACACTCATGTATATAAATAAAAATAACAGAAATTTAAAAACAGGACCAGAACAGTACACTGTTAAGTCATATTGAACACAACGTAATACTAATCCTGATTTCATTTTTCATACATTTTCATATATGGCTTTTTCCATATGAAAATACTACATATTGTGATCATCAAGCTTTGGAAAGCCCCTTATACTGTAGCCAAAATGAGTCTATAACTTATTTCACCCAAGTTCTGGTCCTGACACCAGGTACAATCCTCCTCTCTGTGTCCCTTCCCCAAAAGCCACCCAGCCCAGACCCAGGAGCTTAACTGTGCTAGGTATCACACCCAGTGACATTCACCTCTGCGGCAGTCGTTTATATGGGGCATTTTCTTGTGGGTCAACTTGTGGCGAAGTTCAACAATCCAGTCTGGAATGTTCACCTGATTTAGGAGTAGAGGATGAGTTTAATTAGAAATGAGAAAATAATGAAGCTTGCAGAAACTCAGGGATGAATCACCCTGACCATCCATCCCCAGTGATTAAAATACAGGGTTCCTGATTATATTTTACTGCTCATTGGAAGTAGTGTTAAATAAGAAAAGGCAACTATCTCCACCCATTCTCCAGTAAGAGATTTCTATGAAAGAGCATTAGTAATTACCTTCTTGGCTTCTCTTTGCCCTTTCCTTCTTCTTAGGTATCTTTATCCTTCTCTGCCTCCCACAAGAGCTCCAGGAAGTTTTTTCACGGTTGAGAACACACCCACCCTCAAAGCCCCTACACAACTAACATACTCACTCAAGCCAGAAATATCTGGCATTTTCTTGCTGCTTGGCTGAGCTGTTTCTTTCCTCAGACAGCTAGCTCCCGGAGGGCAGTCATTTTGACTACTACCCTCTTTTGTGTCCCTACCCAGAGGTATAGTCGGGCTCCTCACTTTCACTGGGCGACTGCAGACAAGACAAGCAGAGCTTGCCAAGCCCACTGAAATGCAAGTTATGAGAACCATGGGAACAATCTGCTTCTTTAAAACTGTAAAACTGGACATTCAATCATCAAGTCAAACTCTTTCTGTTAAGGACTCCGACAGCACAAGACATAATCCTAAGAGTCAACAAATGGGATTGCATGACACTTAAAAGTGTCTGCATATCAAAGAAAATAACAAAACATAGAGATAGCACAACTTAGAAAATGGGAGAAAATCTTTGCCAAGTATATATCATATAGGCAGTAATAGCTATAAAGAATCTCCAAAATTAAACAATAAAATATTGTACAATCAATAAATATACTGACTAACATACACTTCTCAAAGAAATGTGCATGGTCAATAAATATTTGAAATACTGTTCAAGAGCCTTAGGTCTTAAGAAAAGATAATTTTTTTTCAAGATTTGATCTCAACCCAGTCAGAATTGCTATCATTAAGAAAACAAGCAACCGGTTGGTGGTGGCACACACACCATTAATCACAGCACTCAGGAGGCAGAGGCAGGCGGATCTCTGTGAATTTGAGGCCAGCCTTGGTCTACGAGAGCTAATTCCAGGACAGGCTCCAAAGCCACAGAGAAACCCTGTCTCAAAATTAAAAAAGAAAAAACAAAAACAAAAACAAAAATCAAAAAACAAAAAAAAAGAAAGAAAAAGAACCAAGCAACAGTAAATGCTGGTGAGATGTGGGAAAAAGAGTACCCTTATTCACTGCTGGCAAGAGTGTAAACTGGTATGGCCATTACAGAGGTTCCTAAACAACCAAAATTAAAATTATCATATGATCCACCTACACCACTCCTGGATATATAGCCAGGGATTCTAAGGCAAAATACCACAGAAATACTTACGCATCCACATTTACTGCTACCTTGATTCACAATTGCTGCAATATATAATGAGCCCATAGGTCTATCAACATGTACATGAAGACAACATGAAGCATTTACAGAATGAAATTTTACTCAGTTGTAAAGTATGATATCGTCAGAAAAATAGATGGAATCGGAGATCAGGATGTGAAGCAAACAAAATAAGCCAAACTCAGAAAGTAAACCAGTTCATAGATTTTCTCATATGCAGAATCTAAATTTAAATTTACAGATGTGCATGTATATGTTTAGGAGGTGAATATAGAAAGCAGACTGTGGGGGAGGGAGGAAGGGCCTAATGAGAGGGACAAAGGAAACAATGGAATGTGACATGCAAGCAAATGGAAGGACGATTTGAGAGAGGAACCAATAAACAAAGTATAACCATATGTGTATGAATGCTGCAACAGAACACACGCTTTCATGTGGTAACAGCTCAAAACCTGAAAGCTAAGGGTCTGATGCTCCTCGTGGGTCTGTCTACCTGGCAGTGATGAGATTAATCTGCTTACATGTTACACCATGACCCAGTCAAGACACCCTCCTACAAAAAGAGGATGTGCAATGCCATTTTATCACACATACCTCCTGAGCCAGGTACTTGAGGGGGAGGTTAGAACATTTGGTCTTCCTCTCTGAGATAAGATTCACAAACCTGGGATGGGAAAGAAATAAGTGGTGGAGTATAAAAACCTGTTTCACTCAAAATTCCTTGTAAAGTTACTGATATCTTGTATTTCTACAATCTTCTTACTGACTGGCCTGTTCTTACGATTGGTGTCAGCCCAACATTGACTGGGGACTATGCTGTGTACTGAAACAATACAGATAAATAAGATACTGTTCTGGTCTTGGCAAACTTGGTCTGGAATAATCGTGACATACGATAGAACACAATATGCTATAGATATCAGAACAAATGACTACATCACATGGGGAACAGATAAATGACAGAAACAGAGGACAAAGGGGAAGACATCAAGACAGAGAGTGGAAATATATAAGGCTTTGAAGTATGAGAAAACTTCAGCGGCAACCCTTCCCCCCAAAATGTATGAAATTCTCAGAACCACTATGATTCAGTTCAATTGGAAGCTCCCAGCCTGTGTCTTTTCTTCCACAATTCAGCAACCGTTCAGCTTTCAGAGGGGAGAGAAAAGGAAAAGTAGTTCAAGGAGCCCAGCCCAGTCCCCTCTGTAGGTATGGTGGTGATGGTATGGTAAGATGGTTGGACAATCCACAATAAATTACAGCAATGAACCACTGAGCTGGGAACAATGGCAACTAGGGAGGCAGAGGCAAGAGGATCACCTTGGAGTAGGAAGCCAGCCTCAGTTACAAAGTGAGCTGTAGACCAATAGAAGCTACATGATGAAACCCTGCCCAAAGAAAGGAATTGGTGAAAAGTTAAGAGACTAAGTTAATAGGGAAGGGGAAACCCAGATTGTCAAAGCTGGGTTGGATCTAAATACTCCACATGTTCTGAATGTCACGCTCCCTCACAGCCCTACACTTGGTTCTGAAAACTCCACATGGTCTGAATTTCACATCCCCTCACCGACCAATACATATTTCAGAAAGGGGAGGGGGGAAGGGGGAGGGGAAAAGGAGAGAGAAGGCTTTCTGGAAAGGAAGAAAAGATGGTGTGGGCAAGGCATAGTTGTGAACAAGGCAGAGTCATGACCGAGATAAACAATCACAAGGTGATTCACACACAAAGACCTACCTAGGGCTTTTGTTCAGGTAGCACCTGAAGCCAAGCCTTGTTCATCCAGGTTTACCCATCTCCAGTTCCCAAAGCCACCCCCCAGTATTCCCCCATGCAGGTCTTACCTGACCAATGCCATGCCATAGAGCAGTCTAAGTTCATCGGTGCCCAAGCCACCAGCTACATCCATGAGCTTACAGCGTACCAGGTCAGCAGTAGAAGCCACTGCCAGGGGCAGGTCGTTGCCTAACCTAAAGGGCCACAGTCCAGCACCATCATAAAAGTCCTTACGCTGTCCCACCCGCGTCGCTGCGCTCTACTCCCAATACACACTGAGGAAGTGCATGGGAATACAAAACACCGTGGGAAAGACAGGGCAAAATCGCTGAGATCCAACAGTAATAAAGAAGTGAGACGCTGGCTGGGATACACGGAACGTATGAGCTACTACAGTTAGCAGCAGTGGTGTGGACACTGTTCGTTCTCTCCCCCTCCCCAAACTATTTAGCTAGAGAGCTCGCAAATCACGATCACATCCCCGCCCCAAACTGAAGTGAGCAGCCACCTCCAGCCCGCGTCCAATCCAAAGAGCCACAGTCCAATCCCTAACTAGAATCAGAAAGCCACCCTAGCATGTCTAACTACTTCCCTTTAGTCCTGGGCTCAGGTCCCCTCTGTTTGGCAAGTAAAGCTTAAACCTCACCGGTCCAAAAACGTTAAGGGGACATACACCCTAGTTTTCATCCACGAGGTGAGTACGAGAACTTGGCTGCAACCCGCCCCCTCTCCTCCTCCCCCAGGCACTTGGGAGGGAGGCACCAGAAGGCAACTTCGGGGAAGGCTGTCGCGGGAACTCCGGAAAGGAAGGAGTGAGGCACCCCCAGCACCCAGGTCAGAGGACTGACCCCGCCGCCGCCTTACCTGCTCCGCCACACCGTAATACGGTTCAGCGCGTACTGCTGCAATTTCTGATCATCGCAGAACAGATAAACCGTCACTTGATCCCATTCAGCCCGGCTCAGCCAGGAGACCACGATGCTCTCGGGACAAGGCGGCGGCTGAGGCTGTTTCTCTTTGAAGTCGTTCCCGTCCCACGAACGCCACACGCAGTCCATCCCTGGGGGGGATCCAAGACCAGGTTCAGTCCTGGAACCCCACCAGACCTGAAAAGCGCCCGTGTACCGCGCGCTTCCGCAGCTTTCCCGATAACGTGCGACCCTCGTTTCAAACGGCGGCCACCTCACCAGCCAATTGGAGAGCGCGACGCCGACGCAAGCCCGCCTCTCAGCGGCAGGGTGCCCAATTGGAACGTGGGGCATGCGTCCCACGTGCAGGATTACGCCCGCACTCGCCGCCGGAAGTGTTCTCTCCACAAAGCCGCCTTACCCGAACCACTAGCTTTCAGCTTCTAGGTTCTGCTAGTTTCCTGGCTGTTTCGCGTCTTCTGTCCCTTACAGGAACCAGTGTGTCCGGACTGCCAAGAGGAAAAAAAAAATACTTTGCGCCCCTTGGCGGTCAACGGAGGAATTGTGCTTAATTCCTGTACTTTCCCGATAATATGCTTTAAGTTATTTAAAAAGTTCCTAATCCGATAGATTACTGTGGACACTGAAGAGCAGCTACAGAAAAAATAACATATATTTAGGTAAAATTGAGTAGAACTAGATCTGTTTTCTTGACAACTGCTGGTACAGAGTAAACTGATCCCAGCCTGTTTGGATGATGGAAAAAGAGAATAGTGTGAGAAGTTTCATAACTGGTGAGAGATGATAATGGGGATGGGATGTGGCTATGAGCAAAGGGCAACACTGTGAGAGTATGAAAATGTCAGAACGAAACCAATTATTTTTATGTTAAATAAAAACATAAGAAATAAGTAAGTTGGTATGTGCCCGTTGCATGATGAATGAGTGGAATTAGAATTATCTCAAGAGTATAGTGCTTCTATCAGTGTGGCCTTGGACAAGTCTCTGGCCCTTTCCTGAACTGGGTTTTGTTTTGTTTATCTGTATGGTGAGGATTTTAGTCTCGACTCCAGTTATCTACCATTGTTTACAATTGTAGGATTTTTAACTCATTGAGTCTTCTGTGCTGTTGATTTCAGTATACACGAAGGTGTAATTAACAGTTTCTGCAGAATTCCTTTTGATCCCTTGATGACTTAGTTCTATAATTTCTGCACTTGAGAAACTGAGATGGGTTTGCAGCGAGGGCAAAGCCAGTGTGAGTACCAGGACGCCTACCTGGACAAGGTTGTGAGACTCTGGCCACCCCCCCCAAAAAAAACCCTAAAATACCAACAACAAAAGAATCCCTTAGAATTTGGAGGTGTGAGGAAGAAAGCAACATAATGAAGCCCTTCCAAGAGTTTGCAGGCCGTCTCGAATATATTTAGGGCCTCCGTCCTTCATGCAGCAGCTATTTTCCAACTTAGCACTTCTGAGAGAACAGTAGGTACCCGTCATATAATTGCTGTGATTGGCTCTTTGGTAAATTTGCTGCAATTCTTTCTATATGCTTTTCCCCAGCCAGCTCTCCTAAAATGCACTTTGCCCATGATTCTACTACGCCTCTCTGTCTTTTTTTGCCCAGAAAGCAGATTAGTGCTGCCTGGAACATTCTCCTTTCTTCCCTGTTTCTGTCAAACCACTATTCATCTTCGGTGTTCAGGATCATTTGTCAAATCCAGTTTACCCACGAGTCTCATAGGGGTCATGAGGAACAAAAGGCAAGGGTCTTGGAATTCGTCACAGCAATGTGACCCTTGACTATTCATCAGCTGGTGGTCTAGTACACACTTCTCTTAATCCCCACACACATTTTCTACATCCTCCTATTGGAGGAAAAAACTGAAAAGAATCACTTATCTCAAGACAGGCTTTATGTAAAGTTCGTGTGTGTGTGTGTGTGTGTGTGTGTGTGTGTAGAGCCTGTCTTAGAACTAGCTCTTGTAGACCAGGCTGGCCTCAAACTCACAGAGATCCGCCTGCCTCTGCCTCCCAGTGCTGGGATTAAAGGCGTGCGCCACCACCGCCCAGCTACATAAAGTTTTTGATAGCACTGAGCTTTGTTTGAGCTCTGGATTCTAGTAAAGCAACTAGAGTACAGAAATCCCCCTACCTTTTTGTAAGGTTCTCAACTAGCTGGAAAAGACCAAATTCCCTGTGTAAATTCTCTCAGATAATATTCTTCCACTTACTTCCTTTGACTCCCATAGCACTCAGGGATGACTTTCATGTTTGCCTCCAACTATAAAACTACCTCTTGTGTTGTTGTTCTTTAAAAAATTCTCCCCATGGCAATAGCCTGAATAAAATAATTTCTCTTAATTTTCCAGTGAATCATGTCATTTCACTGATGCTGACTCTGTTTTCATTAATGTCCAAGTGAGAAAGCGTCAGCTCAGTTTCATAAGCTCATATGACACTGTTGAGAAGAGAGGTAAGTGGGCCTGAGAGGTGGCTCCTTAGTGAAGAGGGGATATACTGTTCTGGCAGGGGACTAGAGTACAGGTGGTTCTTAGCGCCACATAGTATCTGTATTCATATGAGTGTACCCACACACAAATACACATAATTCCTAACTTTTTTAAAGAATGGGGGAAGAGTGTTTTCTTCAGTTATGTGTAACTCTAAGGCTAGTCTCTGTTTACAATTTTCAGATACAGAGATGTGCCCTTCCTGCTTACAAAACAGCTTAAGACCATGAGAACTATAAAAGCAAGCACCCCCAGCATTTAACACACTCTATGCCCACCAGTTTTGTTTACTATTTATTGACTGGATGGTTCCTGAAGAAAGGCATTACTGTGGTGTTTCTCTGGCTCTCTTTTTGATAAGTATAAAGAACCCAAGCCTCCAGTTGAAATTTTTTTTATGTGTATGAGTGTTTCGTTTGTATGCATGTCTGTGTACCAAGTGTACGCTGGTGCTTGCTGCTGCCCTTGCCTCTGCCACTCTTCCTCTATTAATCTCTGTCTACCAATGCATTTCTGCCTCTCTGCCTATTCCACTGCCTCCCCACCTCTCACCTCTGTGTTTCTCCTTCTGCCCTTTTCTGCATCTGCCTCCATATCTACCCTGCCTCACATGCCTCTCTGCCTCTGTCCTTCCACCTCTGTTTCTGCACCTCTGACTCTGACTGTTCGTCCTTCTCTCTCTCTCTCTCTCTCTCTCTCTCTCTCTCTCTCTCTCGCTCTCTCTCGCTCTCTCTCGCTCTCTCACTCTCTCCCTCCCTCCCTTCCTCTCAGTGCTTCCCTGCCTCTATCTATCTATTTCTATGCCTCTCTACCTCTCCACCTCTTCCACTTCATCCCTCTGAGCCTCTGCCCCGCAGCCTCTCCATTTCTGCCTTTGCTGCTCTGTGTCTGTGCTCCTTTGCTCCTCTGCCTCCTTATTTCTGCCTCTACCTCTCCGCTTCTCCCACTCTGCCTCTGTCCCTCTACCTCTTGGCCTTTCCCACTCACGTCCTTTCCTCTACCACTCTGCCTCTGCCCCTCTGCGTCTATGCTCTTGTGCCATTCTGCCCCTCTGTGTCCGATTCTATCCACCTGCTTTTTGCCTCTACCTTGGCTACCAGCCCTCTGCTTGGTGATCCTTCTTCTTCTGCATTTTTGCCTTTGCCTCTCTGCCCTCTGTTTCTGTCCCTCAACTTCTACTGGCATGGACCAGCAGGTCTTCTTCAGTGATAGATTTCTCAGCGGAAGGATCAGGAGATGAAATGATAGGAAAGTTTGGGATCAGGAGGTCTTGCATGAGCTATGTCTTATGCGAAGCAGTTTTTTTTTATAACAAGTATGTAAGAAGTCACATAGCTTCTTACATATAAAATGCCACATAGCTTCTTACATACGTGTTTGCAGATGGATAGAGGCAGTCAAAGTCAGCAGAAAGCTAAATCAGATACCGAAAAGGAGAACGCAGGATCACAGGCTACCTCAAACACAGCTCCTTAGGACTGATAAAGAGAGGGAAAAGTCGGATCCCCAGAAAATGCAGCCTTGATTCCTTTGAGGCTTTGTCCCCAGGCCCAGAAAGGACCCTGGCAAATCTGCCCCTTTGTCCTTTCATCAGGACATCTGAGGGAAACTTGGATGGGCCTAGCTCCCAACAGGTTACCCTTGACACACACACTTTTTAAATTTTAAGGCCAGATAAGTTATTAGTGTCTAGATGTCTTAAAGATCCTGATATCCCGTAAACCAACAAATGTCCCCCAATATTGTTAAAATAATCGCTAACACAAGTAATATGGTCATAATACTGAATGAATGTTGGATATTAAAAGGGTTAAATCCTTGTAGCTTTGGCCAATTGCAAAGGAGAACTGGATGCAAGATCAACATGGCCCAGACCAGGGTCAGTAACTAATTGCTTGAAGGTTAATAAATATAAACTTACATTCTCATGATGCCATATTCTATGCAAATGATTTTTAATTCTATACCATTTCCATTCAGATCCATTATAGTTTAAGGGAGTAACAGACATATCTAAAGCCAGAATGATGCTGTGAAGTGATGTTGTATTGCTTGTACTATATCTTCTAGGTGCAATACCACAATTTTTAAGGCATTTAACTTAGCTTCTAGTAATATATGTTTCTACAGAGGGATTATAAGCTAGATAAAATGAGCAGTTTGCAGTTGTTGGGTAATGGTCACTGTGGAAACAGCTGTGGGTTGTATAGCATTGACTACGGCATGCTAGATAAAATCTGACCTAAAAAAAATCTTCACTTTCTAATAAAAGCTTGGTGTAGTTCAGGGAGAACTTGTTATCCAAAATCACCATACCATGTATATTTAAGGTGCACAGGAGCCATAACAAAAAAGGCTCTTTTTGAGCAGAAGAGGAGTTTATACCATTAGAGAGAAGGCAAGTGATACAAGTAATTTTAAATTGTTCCCCACTGTCTTGAATAGAGGGACTCCCACTCAACCTTATATAAAAGGTTAGCACAGGCAATGAGTCCAAACGTAAAATGATGGGCATGCAATAGTTGTGTGTTTTCACCAAAAGTCACATAAACAACTACATTGTCCAGGGCTGTGGCTCACAGCCAAAGATCTGGCTGAGCTTTTCCCTCTGGAGACATTATAACAGGATGTGGCCAATGAGGGGGTCCTGAGAAATCATCTTCATCGAGACCAGGTGAGCACCTCCAAGACAAGTCGACCTGAGGTCATCCATTCAGAGTTCTTGGAAAACTGTAGAGCATGCCACCTAAGGGGGGAAT